ATTTTTTCTTCAGTTCTTTCAGTTTGAGAAATGCCGAGCGTGTTCTTCCCTTTTGGTTTTCAGACTCCAGGTCTTTGCACATTTCATTATAGTGCAAAACACTCCATAGTGATACTGCCTTGGAAACTTGGGTCTGACTCGATGGCACATAACAACAACATATATTAAGAGACATTAATCTGTGCCTCATTTAGATTATGATTCAAACAAAGCAACTGCTTTGAGACAATTGGCAAGAATTTAATAAGGACTGAGAATGAGATGAATTCAGGAATTGTTAATTTTATTAGTTGTGATAATAGAATGGTGGACATGTTTAAAGAAGAAATTTCATTTATGGTCACCATAAAATGACATGATATCTGAGATTTGCTTTAAAATATTCCAGAAAAAAATATGAATGACTGAATGGATAGATAGATAAATATGAGGGGATGTTAATTGTTAAAATTGAATAACAAGTTTCATGGTGATGTTGTTAGGTGCTGTCAAGTTGTCTCATACTGACCCTATGTACAGCAGAATAAAACACTGCCCTGTCCTGTGCCAGCCCCACAAGCCTTGCTATACCTGATCCCATCATTGCAGTCACTGTGTCAATCCATCCTGGTGAGGGCCTTCTCCTTTTTCAGTGATCCTCCACTTTACCAAGCATGATATCCTTTTCTAGGGAATAGTCCCTTCTGGCAACACTTCTGAAGTAGGTAGGACGAAGTCTGGCCATTCTTGCTTCCAAGGAACATTCCGGATGCACTTCTTCCAGGACAGATTTGTTAGTTCTTATAGCAGTCCATGGTACTTTCAGTATTCTTCGCCAACACCACAAATCAAAAACATCAACTCTTCTTTGGTCTTCTTTATTCATTGTCCAGCTCTCACATGCATATGAGATGACTGAAAATACTATGACTTGGGTTAGGTAGGTACACAGTCTTCAAAGAGACATCTTTGCTCTTCAGCACTTGAAAGAGATCTTTGGTAGCAGGGGTTCGTTATATTATTCTCTCTAATTTCTGTGTTTGAAATTTTCTACCATGAGTTTAAAAATATTATGGCAACAAAAGACTACTTTTCTTGCGTCTTATTAAATTGATACTGAAAGCACTTTCAAAAGAGGTGATAAACTAATACAACTGTATGGTAAATATCTAACCTTTCAAACATAGTACTTCTAAGGACAATAATTATTTGAATGGACAAATTCTATTGTCTTCATTAAAAATCATTACTTGGCTTATAAAAACTTTGCAAAAATAGTATATAGAATCCCTGTCATGGATTGAATTATGTCCCACCACAATATGTGTCACCTTGGCTGGGCCATGA